ACTCTTTCAATTCTAACACGAGTTTTGGATAATTTTGTATTATAATTACGTTGTATATTATTTAAGTGACCATTGTCACGATATGGAGTGAGCATATAATGCGATAATGGATACGCAGTCACCTAATAAGTGACCATGTTGTGGAAAATATCTTTCTACATCATGATCTATCATATTTTTTATATCACTTAGCCGCCAAACTCGGGCATCATGAACACTGCCACAAATTCCTGTAAAAACGTCGATAAATTTCATTTTATGATCACAAATATGTTGCAGTATTATAGAATGAAAACGTTTTCTATTTATATAACTATCTGGATGTTCAATAGGAGAACTAATAGGAATATGACAACCATCAATAATGCCCACTACACCTGGGAAATTATTCATAACAGCAAATTGTTGTTGTATATGTAATATTTCATGAATCTCTGGCCATTTAATATAATTTTGAACACGTTGCTTTAATACGTGTAAGCCACATTGAAAACACATCTCCATACAGTGTCTTTACACACTCCAAATCGATCTGCGACAGATCTGAAATAAAATCAATCAAATTTCAATGCAGTAATAAAAACTTAAAAACAATATGATATGATTTTAGACCGACGAGAATAAATTTAATTAAAAAAGAAAATATTTTAATTACCAACCTGTAAACTTCCTGATTGCCAAAAATCCATAAGGCAATAGCAAGTTGCTTAGCTGGTGGTAATTGAGGAGAATCATCATTTTCCGTCAATAACGCTAATCCAAAAGTTTGTATCAATTGCTCAAAAGTATTTCTTTCAATACGAAAGTGTGATTTGAAATCTATATAAAATAATCTAAAAATATTGTTGTAAATTTATAAAATAATACATATGTGTAATTTTATTAGTATCTGTTAAAGAATAAAAAAGAACATTTTCAAAATAGTTATTAATTTTTAAATGCTGTACTCTTAAATATTTCATTTCCTCATTATTATAATCATTCTCATTGTTATTAAAAAAAATATCCCATAATAAATATACATCCATTCTTTTTTCGCTGTACAGATATAAACAAATAATTTTCATAAGGAAATATGATTAATTTATAGAATAATACAGTTTTGTGGAAGTTAATCCTCTTCGAGTAAACCAAATTCACAGCAACAGCACGTAGAGAAGAGAAATATGAACTAAACCTTTTAGGAGAAACATGTAACACGATAGTAATCCGAAATCCGACTTTCATAGACAGCACGGATTGTAACCTGGATTGGTCTAGGAACATTAGAGTCATCAGATTGAGTACCACTGCTCAATCCGATTTAGGGTGCGATTACATGCAGCGCGGAACGCGGTACGCGGTAGGCGGTAAAGTAACTAGAAACCGCGCGCGGTGAGCCGCGCTAATTTTCTCCTACTATTACATGGAGCAGAAACTGCGCGGAAAAGCGGCACGGACTAGTGACAAGTTGACGTTTCTATGCACTTTTTAATGAAATTAATAGATTTAAATGCAATTATTAAGCAGATTCGTTGAAAAAATAAGAGTATTGATAAAATGTGCATAGAAATAAGTTAATACATTTAAGAAAATGCATACAATTGTGAACTTGTCACTATACCGTGCTGCCTTTCCGCGCTCTATGTAATAGTAGGAAAAGAAGTAAGCGGAACGATAACGACATGGTCGGCGTCGGCTGGACACATAACTAGAAATTAGCACAGGTATGTACTATGTATACTGCCAAGTAAAGAGAAATAATTTCGGAGTTCGGAGTTTGGTAGGAAAAAAAAACGATTTTCGCATTAATTAAATACGGTTTTCGTTATGGAGACTGCAGATATGATGTTGATGACCATGATAACATTATTAAATCTAATAAGAAATCAGCCAGAGATATGCACAAATTACAACGAATAAAGTAATAAATAATATGAATAAGTAATAAAATAAGTAAAAAAATAATAAAAGTAATAAAATAAGTAATAAATAATATGAATAAGCTGTGCTTGGTAATTATATAGTTCAGCTACCTTAGATTCCGTTTCGATAAAATTAAGCTTAATCGGCACGTCATTGCACAAAACGAAAAAATCTGGCCGAAGTATCGAGAATATGAAGATATCTTAACCTCTAAAGTCTCGTAACACTTCGATCGTAACTTGATTCTAATGATCGTAATTCTCGAGGCAGAGCGACGTTCAGTCAGATTCTATCATTTCGTGCAATGACGTGTCGATTAAGCCTAATTTTATCGAAATTGAATTTAAGGTAGCTCAACTATCTAATTACCATGCGCTTTATTGGCCACTTGGAAGAAATATGCGTGAACTTTTCAGATTAATTACCTTATAGTTACTTTACCGCCTACCGCGTACCGCGTACCGCGTTCCGCGCTGCATGTAATCGCACCCTTAGGGTGCAGTCCCATGGAGCGTATCGCGCGTATCGCGGATCGCGCGTATCGAAAATCTGACCAATCGCGGACGTTCCGCTATTTTCGATACGCCGCCGTTCCGCCGAATCCATTATTGTAGCGTAATACGCGCCGAATTTAAGTAAAATCGCTTGGTCTAAAGAAGTAGTGTCATATGGCAGCCCTCGAGATGTGATATGCGTAGAATCGCAAGATTGCGTCGAAAATTGTTGCATCGTTTTTTTGGAAAGCATTGCCGGTTTCGATGTGCCTTATACGACTAGCTGCGTTTACCTCGTCAACGAGAACCTGAGTCATTTAAACTCAAAGAAGAAGCTCTATCTGAAATAAAAAAGAAGACAGTGAATATCTTTCACGATTCACGAATTCACGATCTTGTTGCTCCAGTTCATTAACGAGATTATTGCTTGCTCCTTGTGCTAACCATCGTTCAATAGTAAATATTCGACTGACCCAATATTTTCGTTTTCTTCTATTAATAGGTTTGTTCTCACTTTTTCTTAATATAGAATAAAGCTCATATGTTTTAATAATTTTATGATATATTTCCTGCTTGATGAAAGCATTGTGGTTGTGGTCTAGACGTTTTGTTAATAACAACAAAAGCAATATTGTTTTTTATTTTATTCTACACTTGTTAAACCATTGCGAATTTTTTAATTTAATAAATAATAATAAGACTGTAAGTGTATAAAACAAAATAGAATAATTGAAGGGCTAAGAGCCAGTTATGTAATAAAGAACATTTAATAAAGATATTATAATTAAAATAATCATGATTATAACGCTCCATTTCGACCGCGTATATAAAAATAATAAATAATAAAAGACT